AACGTTCAAAGTTCTTGAAAAGTTCTGTATTGACTGACCTTCATGCCTTAAAGTAATGATGGACTGTCGTTTCTCTTTGCTTATCTGAGCTGTTCTTGCCATAATATGGACTTGGTCTTTTACCAAATAGGGCTATCTTCTGTATACCCCCCCTACCTTGTCACAACACAACTGATTGGCTCAAACGCATTAAGAAGGAAAGAAAGTCCCCAAATTAACTTTTAAGAAGGCACACCTGTTAATTGAAATGCATTCCAGGTGACTACCTCATGAAGCTGGTTGAGAGAATGCCAAGAGTGTGCAAAGCTGTCATCAAGGAAAAGGGTGGCTATTTGAAGAATCTGAAATATAAAATATATTTTGATTTGTTTAACACTTTTTGGGTTACTACATGATTCCATACATGTTATTTCATAGTTTTGATGTCTTCACTATTATTCTACAATGTAGAAAATAGTAAAAAATAAAGAAAAACCCTGGAATGAGTAGGTGTGTCCAAACTTTTGACTGATACTGTATATCCATAAAAGATTATGCTGATTCATGATTTCGACTGGCTGAGAAAAGCTGCCTGCCTGTCTGTCTCATCCCGACTCTTTCATTACTATATGACATCTGGAGATCTAATTTGAATATTGAAACAATGTTGCAAATGTCGGAGAGACAGACAGCAAGGTTTATACAAACCTCTGCTGTTGAAAACTAAATGTTAGTCTAAAAGAAATGTGAGATCATGTCTAGATGCATTTTATAGTGGAGATCAAGTTTATAAATTGCCTGGCTGGGCTGATGAGACAGTGGATTGTGCAGTCAGATGGAACAGGGTAAATAGGCATTTTAACATCATAGGTTTAGCTGGTAGTAACTTGTGGAATAGACACCGGCTGTAATGCGGTTTTAACCAATCAGCATTCAGGATTAGACCCACCCGTTGTATAACCATTGATAAATACCAATATTGTTCTCAGCCTCAGTGCTCATGCATGACCTTGGCTATTTGCATTTCGAAATGCCCCTAATTAACCATATATGGTCAAAATCATCCCTTTTAAAGCTCGTGAGGAATATACAACGCCAAAATGCTAAGAAAAAAATAATTTTTCGAGACTGAAGTAGAGGAGCTAGTGTCAGAGATTGGGTACAACCAAAATGTTTTATTTGGCTTCTTCAGTTGTGGTTTGACCAGTAAAAATGAAAACATAGCTGCAAAGAGAAGACCATTCGGACAATTCAAGTTGCTTTAGCAATGGCAAATATACGTCAAATGAGCAGGCAACACTCACCAATAAGCCATCCATCCTCAACAGCTCCCTCCTGTAGGCGTATAGGCCAACATTGCTGTTATGCACAATGAACAAGTAATGTGTTCCACCTGGCCACCACATTGAGCAGCGTTTTTTCAACAAGCTCTCACAGTCTCACATCAGAATTAGATATTCATCTATCTTTCTCAAACGTCTAATTTTTAAGTTGTTCCAAACTGCCTGCGTTTTTTTGCGCATCACATAACCTATCACCTGCACATTAAGAGTGGAAGCCTTTTCTGTTCACATAGTTAAACTCGTTCTGGGATGATTATTTTATGGCGACGTGGGTGCCATCTATCGCTGCGTTCATATTATTTGGGAACCCATTTGGTAAAGAAACCCCTCTTGACTTCAACCTGTTGTGGGATGGTGTATGGAATTGTAGGTTACAGTTCGTTTTGCTGATGGATGTGAGATGCCTATCGGCATGCTCCGGCTGAAGTGGCCGTTACCAAAAACCTGAGGTTGGATAGCACTTTGATGTGCAGCGGAATGGCATGTGTTTGCCTTTCTAAAGTAGATCTTAATCCTCGCAAAGATTCTAGAAGATTGGCTCATCAAATATCGTTTCCCCATACCAATCTGTAGTTTCTACAAAAAAAAGTCCTACCTGTCTCTAAAAATGCTCTCTCTACGAAATGCAGCTTCTGCCAAATCTTCCAACAGAGTAAGATCAGCCATCTCTCGTTCGATTTCCCATTATCTCAGTCTTTTATCGTATTTCAACAATGGTTTCACTTTTACACTTACCTATAATTTAACAAATTACTGTACTTTACATGGATTATTATCGTAACAAATGTACTGATGTGGTGAAATTATAAATAGCCTGTCAAGATATGTTGCATGAATTCACAATGGAAGTAGAATTTAAATCGAAAAATGATTTAATTATTAGGCCTACTCTCACACATTTTCACCATATATTTTCCCTATTCTACACTTGACAAGCAGTTCCTTTACTCCACCACTTGGCACTGAGTGTACGCATGGTCATGTCTATACGTATACACGCTCAAGCAAATATTATATTGATAAATCCAAAGATTATGGATATACTAACAAGATACATGTCTCTCCGCCCTAACAATGGGATTCATTGTCCACAAAGCGGCACAGCAGGCTGTCTAGCTCCCGCCTATCCTTTCCTTGGATTGGTGGATACATCTCAGTATTGTAATCTTTTTTTTGAATATTGGATGAGGGTTGTTGACGTCAACTGACTGTATTCGATGGAGGGAGAGGTGCCATTAATATGCATAGCCATCTCGAGACAACTCCACACTATCTACCAAGAGAGTTCTCATCTATATTATTCTTAGCCGTCTATTTACCACCACAAACCGATGCTGGCACTAAGACCGCACTCAACGAGCTGTATTAGGCCACAAGCAAACAAGTAAATGCTCATCCAGAAGGGGCGCTCCTAGTGGCCGGGGACTTTAACGCAGGCAAACTTAAATCCGTTTTACCTAATTTCTACCAGCATGTCACATGTGCAACCAGAGAAAAAAAAAAAACTCTGGACCACTTTTACTCCACACACAGAGATGCATACAAAGCTCTCCCTCGCCCTCCATTTGGCAAATCTGACCATAATTCTATCCTCCTGATTCCTGCTTACAAGCAAAAACTAAAGCAGGATGTACCAGTGACTCGCTCAATACGGAAGTGGTCAGATGACACAGATGCTACACTACAGGACTGTTTTAATAGCACAGACTGGAATATGTTCTGTGATTCATCCAATGGCATTGAGGAGTAAAGGCTAGAGCTGCCGTTTTCAAGGAGCAGGAAACTGATCCGTACGCTTATAAGAAATCTCGCTTTGCCCTCAAACGAACCATCAAACAGGCAAAGCGTCAATACAGGACTAAGATTGAATCCTACTACACCAGCTCTGATGCTCGCTTCGAGGGAAGCAACACTGAAGCATGCATGAGAGCACCAGCTGTTCTGGACGACTGTGTGATCACGCTCTCCGTAGCCAATGTGAGCAAGACCTTTAAACAGGTCAACATTCACAAGGCCACGGGGCCAGACGGATTACCAGGGCGTGTACTCAGAGCATGCGCGGACCAACTGGCAAGTGTCTGTAATACCTACATATTTCAAGCAGACCACCATAGTCCCTGTGCCCAAGAATGCGAAGGTAACCTGCCTAAATGACTATTGAGTGGTTGAAAAACGAGTTTTAATGACTCCAACCTAAGTGTATGTAAACTTCAACTGTGTATATATATATATATATATTATTATTAATTTTTTTGCTGTGCTAAAAATGTGGCGCTCAAAACAGGTGGGGCTCCCCAGACAGGTGAGTATGTTGGGAAGCAATTTTGCACAGTTATCATACAAATTATAGGCCTACTTAGACATCCAATTAAAATGAAATATTGAATAAACAGTTTAGAGCGGGAAGTTTGCAGGGTTACTCTCTAAAGGAGATAACCCATTCATAGACTAACTGCCTTTAGTGCTTATTGATGATTGTATTTTCTGGATGGGGTGTTTTGTTAAGAGCTCCGACGCTCCTTAAAATGCATCGCTTGCAGTACGGTTTTGGAAACATAAGGAACATATCTTTCATATCAGTAAGAAAAATTTTCAAAAAAAATAAAGGTTAAATTACTACAAACCTTTATAGGGTTAGGGTTCTCACACAGCCATTTTTCCATGTTATAGCACTTGTTTACGAAAAACTGCCGGAATACAGTGGCGTACCTTTGCTAATTAGCTATCTGCGTCTCTGAACAAATGTGTTCTCACTGAAAAATACTATCGGCTGCAAATGTGTTAAAACCGGTTAAAATGGTGTATACAGTAAGTGTATATTTTGCATTTTGTGAAATTATTTTGATGTGATATAAAAGTAGAGGACTTTATGTTTCTAGAACCATACCGCAATTGAGAATCGATTCACGTTTAGATGGAATATTTGGCTGTTTTGGTTTCCAGAGCCAATTCGCCTCTAAACAGAAATGTAAGGTCCTAGGACTATAAGGAGTAACGTTTAGTCCATTATTTGGCTAGGGAGAAGATAGCATAGTCCAGGGGTAGGCAACTAGATTCAGTCACAGGCCGATTTTTGTCCAAGCGGATGGTCAGAGGGCCGGAACATAATTATAAAAATGTATACCCAGCAAATTGACCACAAGTAAGCCCAAAAAGAGATTGTATTTGAAAACAACATAATAATTTACTCACTTGATTACATTGAGACATGATCACAAATGTCTCTTTTTATTTGTAGGATATACTTGGAACAGATTTCCTGATTATTATTATTATTTTTACTATATTATTGGTGGAAAAAAATCACTATTGGGAAGGTTTTGGCCCGGGGCCGCCTGTCGCCAACCCATGGCCTATTCTGTGTTTGAATTATCTCCCACTGCGTCGCAGCTGCAAACCACACTGCTGCTCCTGCTCCCTTCTCGCCCCTGGAAAGAAACGAGACACTAGCCTCAGAACACTCCTCCCCCCTCGCAAACTTGGAGCTTTCTCCCACTTTTACCATGTTCTTCTATAGTCTATACCCGGTCTTCTTCGATGCAGCCTATGTTTTCCTCCTTATCATAATGACGCTGGCCGTTGATGGAACAAATATGTCGCTGGACCGCCTCTAAAGCACAATTGAAACTTCAATGCCAGTGAATGTTTTTAAATCTCTTGATTTTGGTTGGATGAAATATGCGATGTCCGCGGGTGAGCCGGGTTCTTTTTCTGCTACATTCTGTTTTGTTTTTGTCTGCCAGCCATGTCGAGTTCTCGCTGCCTGGCAGCCTCCTCTCTCCAGACGAAGAACAAGGTCAGTGTGTCTCAGTTGTTACGACTAGCCTAAGCTATAATAACTGCAACAATGTTGCGATTTTATTGTTGCAATTTCACTTGCATGCATAGATTCAATGCAACAGCACACATCGTAGTTAGTCATTGCAAGGTTAGTGCATGAATCTGTGCATAATTTTAGCCAAGTGGCAGGTTGATCAATGAATCTATCATTTGATAATTGATTAACTGATTGATCTGGAAATTATATTGTAGGTGTTGGATCATTTCACTGTAGTGGTTATTCTTATCCAACTGGCCTAATGTTATTACTTTTCCATGTTATCCTCAGGTCGCTTTCTCCAGTCCCAGTCGGATGTGTCCATGGTCCATCCAGTCAAAGTTGACAGAGATGGACAGTTTCTCTCCCACTCTCTGGCACACCGCCTTGAGCGCGTGCGGCACAAGCGAGACTTGGGGGCTTTGGAGGGACGCGTTTATTATAAGGTGAACTACAAGGGCCGCGATTTGGTTTTCAATCTAACAGTCAACAACTATTTGGTGTCGAACGAATATATTCTAGAGCGGCGAAACGGGAGTCTGAACCGGACTGAGCACCGTACCACTGGGGTGAACGCCTGCCACCTGATCGGCACAGTGACTGATCCTACTAATGCGCGCGGGACAGCCGCCATCAGCACCTGTGAAGGCTTGGTAAGAAACCAGGATACTGACCATATTTGGAATTGAACTCCATGTCATCTTTAATTTTGTTCTCTGATTTTAAGACATACCCAGACAGCACACATAAATCTCGCCTACGTCGGCCGGATGTATACATGATATATCGGGCCGATGTAGTATGGAGAGCGTTTGCACATTGGCAATAGATCGCATTTGCCCTTCAGCCGCTGTTTGGAAGATGCATGTCAAAGCTTCTAAATTGTACTGGCAATAATCAAAAACAATATGCTTTACATTTGAGTCATTTAGCAGACGCAACTTACAATAGTGAGTGCATACATTTTAGTAGGTTTCTTTTTTCAAACTTGTCCCCCGTGGGATTTCAAACCCACAACCCTGGCGTTGCAAGCGCAATGCTCTACCAACTGATCTACATGGGACTATACTAGACTATTAGTGATTTTGTTTATGGGTAAAATGAAGAGAGAAGATTTAAGTTAATGTCCAGTTTATTAGGCTATTGCTATACCATAAAGTTCTTAAAAGAACTCCAGCACAGAGAAGAGGTAAACAAGTAACAGAGAAACAGAAACATCACATTGAACAAAAATATTGCTTATGCAGAGTGTGTGCAGTTAGTTAGATAAAAATGAATTAAGGTTTTATTACAGGCTAAGAGCAGGGAATATGTGATTCATATATTTACAAAAAAAGGGAACATTTGAGCCACTTGGTGAAAAGAATGCATGGGACAAGTACTGTAATCAGAAAAAGCACTTTTATTCATTTATTTAAGCCTATAGGCTTTATACATATTTTCAGATAAAAAATATTGCCAACCATGACCTGGAAATGTTTGACTGGCCATGGGTAGGTTATGCCTAAAACATGATTATGCATAGAGAGAAGACCGCACGCACACCTTTGGGCGGCGTATCAAAATGCGTAGGGAATATGTAGTTTGGAGAGCGTTTGCACATTGGCAAGATGACACCGAGACATCAGAATAGAATGTTGATGCCTGGCCGACTTATAAACAATGTGACGGTGCAGCGCGCATGCATTTCGACCTCCCACACTCACAACCGCCCACCCACCGACCTTCAAAATGGAACGTGATCTACTAACGATATAACGTTGTTAGGCCGATGTCGGCGAGATGTATGTCTGCTGTCTTGGTAGTTGGGACAGTGTAATCCTTCTCCAATGCATCCTTATACTTTTCTCTTTGATTCAGTGATCAATATAAGGCTTCACAAATTAACCACATTGAGAAGCAGGTAAAGATAACTCAAATAAGGAGATATGTACCCTTGTTATGATTTAGCCACATTGATTTAGCTCAGATAGGACATTTCGTTTGTGTAATTTCTTGCCCTATTTCCATTTTGCCTATTATAGAAGCCGCTGCCTCCCCAAGGTCAGGAGAACTTCTTTAAAATATACAGGAGAGAGGCATCAGAGAAGTAGTAAAATGTGCAGAAGAGGATGTGGTCTGGCTAACCCCTCAGACTGACAGTACCTCGTCTGTTGGTCCGGCCTTCAAAGATTTCCTGACTGTTTGCAGAAAGACTTTAGCTCCATAGCTCCCAAACGTCTGCAGCTGCCACCTCTTCTCAGTCTACTGGGAGACTCTGGCTCTCTTGCATGCTCTTTCTCTCCTCCCTCTCTCCCGTCTCACCCTACCTCTCCCGCTCTATGTCTTCTACTCTGAGCTCTCCCTGTATCTACACTGTTATGTTTCTCTTTGTTTGTTTGAGAATGTGGCTTCCAAGGCTACTACCTAGAAAGAGACTGAAATAAAACTTGGATTAGTGTCACACACAAACACACACACACACACACGAGACGGCAGTATTTTTAGAAATCTTGTATGTTTCTTATAAGAAACCTACTTTTATCTACAAAGGAAAGGAAGACTTCAATTTTCATCACAATGACAGTTGAGTTTTTCTCTCTGCTGACCAGAAAACAGCTGGACAGCAGAGAGAGACAAAGGGGAGACTTCCGTATTGTCCCTGATTTATTTACTGTAGTGGAATTACCAAGAGGATATGGAAGAGAAGGAACTTCCCTCTGTATTTGATCAGACGTGTCAGTAAATGGCCTGTGATGGATGTCTCTCAGTGTTGACTCTCGTCACATCAGGAATGCCTCTCCTGCAAGGTCTTGGCTCACTGTCTGTCAGTCATGTTTGGTTTACAGTCGCTCAATGAGCCAAACCTTGCAAATGCATGTCATTGAGGATATACAGCTGTTGTGATAGTGCATGCATTTGGGTTAGAGCAAAGAGACAGGGAGTGTGCAAAGACCTCCCTGCATTTGTTATCCAGTTGCTCCTAAATGTTTATTGGGCTGTGACCCCAGCAAGATCACCCCAGATAGACTTCAGTATTCAACGTTTCTCCAGGTCCCCAGGACGTTGGGCGATGCCGTCAATGTTGTCCACTAGGGGCAATGTGAGCACGTATTACCATCTAGTAGGCTCGCAGCTTGCTACAGTGTTGTGGAGGGGGATAGAGGATGGGCTTAAACTGTGTACTTTGGCTCTGAGGATCACAAGTTCAATTCCAGTGCCAGGCAATCATGATTTGTAAAAATGTTTTATCCCATACCTTAACCATTACATAAACTTAACCGTGAAGTTTTTTATGCATAACCGTCAACTTTTTTCTGTTTTAACAACCTTAACCCTTGCCTACTTTCACTTCACCCATAGACGTTTTTACTAATTTCCACGTAAAAGGACCCATGAGCACCAACATGTGAAGTTCATAGGAGCATATTAAATTGAGTTTCTAATGAAAGCTAAGAGCATTTATTTCTGGGAAATGAAGGCATAGATACATCTTTCAACCATTTTCCATCTTAAAAATTAGCCATAAGTAATGGCTTTGATTTCTGGTCAAACAGATGTAAAAGGGGTCCTAGAAAACTTATACCAGAAAAAGTCTTAAAAAGGTATTAGAAATACATCAAAACACAATAATGTTGAAGTAAGACCCCTGCCAACTAATATCAACACTTATATTTAGATTTGGATAAATGATTTGCCTTCTGTAAGTTTAAGAAACATTCGCTTGTGCCTTGTAATTCTGTTACCAAAACCCCACATATCTTTAAGATATTTTCTAATTTCTCTCCCTCATGAGGAGGGAGGATAATGGTAATTCACAGAAGTAACAAGTAAAGATAGACCTACCAATTAGTGTTTTTACTGATATCCATTTTTGTTTATGAATTATTAAGTGATTAAAACTCGTAATTCGGTAACAGAATTACAGAAAAATCTGTAACGGAATTACTGCAATTAGAGTGTGAAAAAAGTCTGGACAACCCCTCCCTCCCTCTCTCTCTGCCTCTCTCTTTTCTCTCGCTCTAGTTAATGTTACTTGTCCCGGCTTACTGACACCTACCCATGTGAGCCCCCTCTCTTTCCATTTACTGTAACCAGAATCCGCACCCACTGAGCACCAGACGTCCATGGACGTTGAAAAGTAGTTGATGTAGATTTTTGGTCCGGTTCTTACTTACAGGTCCTTTTCCAACAATGTAGAGTTAAAGATTAAATACAAATAGAAATAGTGACAGGAGGAATAAGTACACAGTGAATAACAATAACAAGTAAAAAAGAACATGGCTATATACAGGGAGTACCAGTACCAAGTCAATGTGCAGGGGTACGAGGTAATTGAGATAGCTACAGTATGTACATATAGGTAGGGGTAAAGTTACTAGGCAACAGAATAGATAATAGACTGAGCTGTAGCAGCAGTGTATTTGAAGCCGTAGCAGTATCGTGTGTGGGCGTATGTAGTGTTTGTGTGTGTGCTGGGGTGTCAGTGTAAGTATGTGTGAGTGAGTGGGTAGAGACCAGTGTGTGTGCATATAATAATAGCCAGTGTGTAGAATAATCAAATCAAATTATATTGGTCACATACGCGTGTTTAGCAGATGTTATTGCGGGTGTTTCGAAATTCTTGTGTTTCTAGCTCCGACAGTGCAGTAATATCTAACAAGTAATATCTTACAATTTCACAACATATACCCAATACACACAAATCTAAGTAAGGAATGGAATTTAAGAATATATACATATATGGACAAGCAATGACAGAGCGGCATGGACTAAGATACAGTAGAATATTATAGAATACAGTATATACATGTGAGATGAGTAATGCAAGAAATGTAAACATTATATTATCATGTGACAGATCATGTGACACTTAGATTGCACACAGGTGGACTTTATTTAACTAATTATGTGACTTCTGAAGATAATTGGTTGCACCAGATCTTATTTAGGGGCTTCATAGCACTTGTTTGAAACAAGTTATTTTTGGTGAAAATTTCACTTCACCAATTTGGACTATTTTGTGTATGTCCATTGCATTAAATCCAAATAAAAATACATTTAAATGACAGGATGTAATGCAACAAAATAGGAAAAACGCCAAAGGGGATGAATACTTTTGCAAGGCACTGTAAACAATGACATTCATCCGATTGATATTTGACCATTAATTTCTGCAAAACATGCAGTATTCTGTTAATGGAGTTGTTGTAGCTAGCTTGCTTGCTAGCTAAATTATTCCATCCCCAAACACCATGCTAGATCCATGTGAGTGGGCCAGTTTGTTTTTCATGGCCCCGTGCACTTAGATATCTGGCTATCTTCATTCTTGATAATCTACTAGGCACATAACATGACAACTCTTTGGGAACTTTAGTACTTACTTACCCGATTCACATCCATCACCGAAGCTGCCCGCCGTGGTGGTGTAAGACCGATGGTGTTAGTGGACTTGGAGCCTACATTGACTGTGGGCAAAGAACCAGTTTTAGCCTCAACTTCATGGCGAAAACACTCTTGCACGGTTGGTAGCCATCATAATCGTTTGGGACAATGCGCCAGGGGTACCCTTGGCCCAGTCTGCCCGAAGCGGTAGGACTTTCTTCCCATCTTGACCAAACATGCATGCCGGTAAACAGGGCACTGCCTCCACCACCAGGCTGTTCCTCTCTTG